GGTGTCGTCGCCGCCGTTTCCGCAGTCCGACGAAGTCGCTTACTGGGAAGACCTTGCTGTCCGGAAGTAGGTGAAGCAACATCAGCAGACGAGTCTAACAATTCCTTAGCCGAACGCTTCTGGGATACGGTCTTTAAAGCAATTCCCTCTGCTCCCATTTGACTCTGGAAGCAGGTAACGGGATTAGCATCTCAAATGCTACAAAGTTCGTCTTAAAAGACACTTTAAAAAATAACTTACTGACTCCGAGGTTGCAGAATTGGCATCTGGATCAGGTTTGTGCTTCATCAGTGTGGCAGCAGCAGTGACAGCAACGGCAGAATCAACAACACTAGACACCTCTTTACCCTTTAGCAAGAGAGGCAAGGGTATCACACAGGGGAGGGGGAAGGGCAATGTGAATGGAACTGGACGAGCATACGCAAAAACAGGCACAGGAACATAAATCGGTACAGGAACTGGGACGGGAACGTATGTGGCCTTCGTCTCTTCATCTGACTTCACTTCCTCATTCACACCTTCCTCCGAGTACTGCTCTTCCTTTGTGCATTTCAATGGCTCGTCTATGAGCAGAAACAAACCATTATGCGCTGTTCCCTAATGACAGAAAATCAAACGGAGATCAGACAGGCTGCCAAATGCTTTTACCCGTTTGAGTGCCCAGGTGACATGTGGATGGAGCCTCTGTGTTTGCCCCAACCTCATTCCTTCTAATGGCTTGACTGTTAGCCTCCCCACTATCTTCCATATCGGAGTCGTTTTTATCCGAAAAGACCTCCTCTTCTTCCTCTTCGACCAAATCCCCGTCTTCGTCCACTTCCTTCTTGGCTGGGACAGTCGGCTCCTCAACAACCATCATCTCATCCTCTTCCACATCCTCATCGTGCCTTGAAGCCAGAGCCTCTTCCTCAGCGGAGAACTGACACTCGGCATCACGAGAGTGAATACCTGACTGAGTCTTCCGCGACACAGAGAGTGGACGGCAGAGAACTGCCTTGTTTCGCATGGCAACTGGAGCCGCCGGCTGCAAAATTACTTGCTGTTCGATACCCAGCTGACGGACCATGTCAATAGGCACAACGGGAAACTGACCCTGGGTTAAAAAACGGAATTAGATTGGAAGAAACAGAAGAATGCCTTAGATTAGGTTTAGTCTCACCCTGAGTGGCCGACGACCACGAGGCCTGCCTCTGTTGCTAGCACCCGTGATCGCGGCGAAACGATAACTGGCATCCCGATCCACACCAGTTCCAGCGGTGGTGACCATCGCTGTTCCACTGGTAAAAATATTGCCTTGTGAATTAATAATGCCGCCGGCCCCGCCAGCACCAGTGGCGACACTAAGAGGAATACCAGATGATGGTGTGTAGCGAGTACCCAGTGAAAGTAAACCCGATGCGGACGGAGCAATAACCGAAGGCTGTTGAATCAGCTGAGCACCTTGTAGAACCTGCAGACCCTGAGCTGATCCCAAAGATTTCCTGGAACAGATTTTTAAGCGTTGCACAAAAATAATAATAATGAAGGTTGCAGAAAGAGAGTAGAAAGCGCACCTCGCAGGAGCTCTCCCACCACGTTGTACCGATTGGGTTACTCTCGGATCGATGACAGACTAAAAAATTCAATGACATTCATCCAAAGTATAAGCTGCTTGATAAAACTATCGCAAAGAAATCGGATAGTTTCACAAGTCCAAATAACCGAGACTACAAACACCATACAGGAGAGATAGATAAATCGGCAATTACTTACCGACTCATGAGCTAAAACAAGACTTACTCGAATGCCAACAGGCTGAATGAGATGCTGAGCGAGTTCAGGTTTCAAAATACTTTTGCCAGTCTGAACAATTCCACCCACTTGCACCTGTCCCCCAGCAATAAGTCCACTGGGATCTTGCACGACAATGGCTCCATTCGCATCCATCGGAACTTCAACAAGCTGGCAGCCCTCAGGATCAATGGCCGCCATGTTTTGCCTATCAAGGGAAGTTAAAAGTGCGTGAATAAACTAACCCAAACACAGCCATCACCTTGAATATCGAGCTGGTGTAGTATGCAGCGCGGCATGAGTACGCCGATTAAAACAAAATATTCGTGACCAAATATTTCAGAAAATTTGCAACATCCTAGTAGCACTTGTAATTCAAAAAATAGAGTAAAAATTTATGATGCAGCAGTAACCTAAATGTTACGAAATCACTACTTTGTAAATGAGAAAATGTAAGAAATCGCTTTGTTGTTTTACTGTACCAACGGACCTTCCTTTTCCTTATTCCCTTTTGGTTGATATAAACAAAATAACATTTATTGTGTTTACTTAAAAATACTTGCTTTGTGACTGTTTGTGTAACAGCTTAACTTTTTTAGTTTTTACTACTAAGTTTACTTTTACAATTTTTTTCAATTTATGTTGATGTTATAACTTTGTTAAATTATTTTAGTTGTCTTTAAAATATGAACCAATTTTGCTTTAAATCTTCTTCACCACTTTACGCTGCTGAGCCAACTCTTTTTCTGAACACATTCTTAGCATCCCTCCGCCTACTTCAACTCGCTTAACCAGTTCGGATTATATGCCCAATCTTCTCGCATCGGGCAGATCGTCACGCACTCCTGTTGCGTCATTAGACTTCCTAGCCGGTATAAGAAGTCATTAAGTGCAGCTAGATACATGTATTCCGAAGGCGACAGAGCAAATGGACTCGGGGATGGTCCGAAGGCCAGCCCACGTGTTCAAGGACCAGACAAGACCTAAGGTGATCGCCAAACGTCGGGTAGTCACATCAACAGAGCATTACAACTCCTACCACAGATATCCACATCCTTTATCGCCTCTAGTGTGGGGTGTCCCCTGTCACCTTTCCAACGCTTGACGTACATAAGCCTATAAAACTCACCCCAATTTTTTGCTCGACTTTACGTTTCCTAAACCCCCTTGGGGAACTGTTTAAAAAATGCAGATTAATAAAGTGGCAGGTCAGCTGGATGGATGTCAGATTTCAAAGTGTCGATGAACAAAATATCACAGTCACTTTTCTGTCAATTCTCACTTTTTTCCTCTTGAGGCGCGTTGCTGACGCAACGAAGGAATGATGCTTTGCTGTGGGCTTCTAGGTTGCACAGCACTGAATAACTGTGGATTTCTTCTTTTTACTTTTACGTTTATTCTGCTGCTGTGGTGGCTGGTCAGCCAGACGGAAAGGATTGTTGTTTTGCACTGATGGAGTCTAAAATTCGACAAAAGAAATGTCTTCTTCAAGGTTTTTAGTTCATACCTCACGATTGCTAAGATTTTACTTCAAAAATGCACTTCCGAAATGCAGATAACGCCTGTTACGCAACACTTATGTTTTATCCGTTGCAATAACCATCGAAAAATTTGAGATGCCATTTATTTTAGTTAATTGATGAGGTTCCTAGCTTTGTCGGGTTATTCGCATGCTTGGGGGGATAACTTATACGTTTAGGTGTAGGTTTATAGAGCTATGAAGGCAGAAGGCGAGTTGACTTACTGTTTGATGGAAGAACTGAAATACAAGATAAACAGAGGTTAAAATAACAATTTAGTTTAGTCATTTCTGTACTGCTAAGGCAGCGAAATAGGCCCGAGCATCGTTTCTGCTGCATGACCAAGATTACTGGCTAAACTAAGTTCACTGATACATAGAAGCGTATGCCCTTACTTTCAAAACAGATTTAATTTTAAGGTATCACAGTAAACAAACTGAGGCCTTCATTACCAGCTAAGCGGA